ATATATAAAAATTATATTAAAAAATATACAAAATATTATACTTATCGCACCAAATCTTTATTTATTAGGCATGCTACGTTGCTACCCACACAACTGCACTGGACCGCTAATTGGCTGGGGTGCCAAATTTTCTTTCTTTATAATTTTTTTTTTCAAACTATGAATAATACGGACTCTACCAATTGGTGCATTCGAGAAAAATTCTATTGTATACTCGGATGCCACGTCAGTGGTATTCTAAATCAATAAAAATATGTCGTTTTTATTTTTTTTAAATAATTAATAAAATGTAAAAAAAAAATTTAAGATAATATATTTTTATTGACCCAAAATATCACATAGATGATATTTTGGGATACAACAGAAGGGCTTGCATTTAATTGTCTGTGGAATGCAGATAGCATTTCTTATATTTATTAACAATATCTTAGTAGTCCCTGGCCAAATTTCTTCATGGTTATTTTGTAAACAATACATAATATTATTTAGTTATATAAATTTTCAAAAGATGACAATTTTTATATTTTGATTTGTTTAATGATATATATTTATTGTAAAATTTTGTTATAAAATAATATAATACATATTAATATCAACTCTTTTGATGAAAATCTTTGAAGACTTTATAAAAAAAAAATTTGATTATTTTGACCATGAAAAAACTTAGGAGATATGAGTAATGAGATGCACGAGCATCAGCAGTTTGCATTGGTCCAAAAGTGATTCCCCCAAAGGACTGCTTGCATTGCTAGCAATGAGTTGTTTAAATCTACATCTCCTGTTTTCTGATCCTCGCGAGCCTCTATTTAAAGCCACCACTCCTATGCCCCCTTCAAGATCCATAAACATAATCTTAAGTCTTTAACATTTCTTTCCTCCGAAAATGTCTTGTGCTTTCTTCGTGGTTTTGTTCTACTTTCTCCTCCTCCTCCTCCTAACCCCTCCTCCAATGGCAACAAATTCCGCGGCCGTGGTTGCAGGTGCCACGAGGCCTTTATTAGAATCAAAATCCGGAGAGACGGTTATGTTTAAGCCGAAAAGACATGGTTTTGGTTATGGGAATGTGAAGAATTGCATGCCAAAAGGATTTCACCATACTTCTGCGCCTAGTCGCTACATAAATCAGAATGTTTTCGGCTCTGCTGTGTGTTCCACAGGCACGGATGTGGCTAGTCCATGACAAATATATTATGTGTATGATGTCTGAGGTCGGTGACCGATTTTATAGTTATGGATTAATACAAGATAAACTAAGAAGAAAATGGAGATGCAAGTCTACACCAAAAGATATATAAAAAAAATTATTTGAAGCTATTATAAACCAAATTTATTGTAAATATTTCACCCTTATCGTGTCTCAGCTCTCCACCATCAAGCGTTTACACAATCCATATGAGAGACGTATGCACATCAAGCCTAAACCATTATTAATTCTTTGTGCAATGCCAATTCTTTGTGGGTTCTGCCTATCTTTTACGAGGTGTGTGTGTATGAGTGGTTTGTTGTGTTTTTTTTTTTATGTATTCTGAGATGTGGTTTAACGCTAAACATTGTCATAACAATAAACATTCTTGTACACCGTAATTGCTGTTGTTCTCAAACTTTACAATTGCAATGGAAGTTTCCATTACCTGAACTTTTCAGACGGTTAAATTGTCAGCTTAAACAATATTTCAAGGCTCCAAAACTGCAGTCTGAAAATTTGGGTTCAACTGTAGTGTCTTCTTTGCTAAATTGCGTATATCTTCCCTGCTAGACTCGTTTGATATTCGTACAAGTTGTAGTACTCCTCCACTGGAAATGAAATCCCTGGCATTATCCTCTGCAATATGCTGAAATTAGTCTAACAATCTTGTACGGTTCTACACTACTTTAACAATGTTTAAACCGAGTAATTTTTACCATTTTGTGCCAAATGACAAAGGGTAAGCTCAACATAGCGTCTGGTCAAAGCTGAAGTTGTATTAGAATTCGCAATCAACCATTCAAGGGCACCATCTTCTAACAGAAGTGAACGGCCTCTTCTATGACCTGCAGAAAGATATAACCATATGAAAATCATGCAATGCAATCTTCTAGAATTGAATTCTAGTTCATGGAAGGAGTAGGTCAATAAATACAGACCTTGACTAATTCCTCGGGTCTCACATTTCACAAAGTTGGCTATACCTCTAGCAACCTGGATAATCACATCAATGTTCTCTGATTTAACCATTCCCAAGAGAGCCTTTATGCCTCCATCTTCTTTCAGCATCATGTGTAATTTTTCTGTTGAACAACCAAAACCCCTTCATCAACATACATAACAGTCAACATTCGGATGTTGTCATACTGATGGGCTTACCATTTCCACATAAATTGGCAAGTGCACCAGCTACCATTCTTAGAGTTTGCGGATCATCTGTCATAGATGCTGTTTTTGCTAGTAATTGAGCACCTCCTTTGCTCATTATTAAGTCTTGATTCATCTCTGCAAAATTTTGAAATGGAGTTTTTAAGATGATGAATTTTTGCATGCTGTACAGAGTTAAATCCAATCCAATAAAAGAAGAAATACCCATGGAAATAGAAGAAGTTCACAACTCACAAGCATAGGGGTCATTAAGGCTGTAAATGAGGTCAAGTCAAGTACCTTAGGACTTGAGCTTGATCTTAAGCTTTATTGACTTATCAAGCCTTAAGATCAACCTCAAACTCAAACTTTTTTATTGCTCAAGCTCAAGTTAAATCAAGCTCAGATTGAGCAGCTTGCAAGCTACTCGACTCAATTACAGCCCTAGGAGCAGTGTAACATCTTCTAACAGAAACATAGGTATTGTAATGTATGAAGGGCAGAGAAGTTAGTGTTACCATTCATTGCCAAATTAGCAATGGCACCAGATGCCACTCTAAGTATGGTTGCATTTTGGGACGTTCTTAACAGTGTAAGCAGAGCATCTAAGCCACCTTCCTCCACAATATGTTCCTGATTAATATCTGAAATGCATTAAACCTAAATTAATACCTGCTATTCAAACAGAAACATCCAAATGAGAAATGGAATCAAAACTTCTATCTCTCAAAATTTAATATAAGAAAGTTTAAAACCTGAATTGAGTTCTTGAGAATAATCTAGAAAAAGGTGAACAATGATACATGTTAACTAGAAATGCTCTCATCCACATCCAGTGAAAAATGTAAGAATTATAGGAAAATCTACATTAATTGCCCAAACTTCAATTTGCGATCCATCTGAAGATTTAAGGTTATTATTATTGGACCTTCGATATTGAATTTATTTGATCAAGTTGTCTATAGCAAAAACAATTATAAGGAAACATCCATCCTAATGAGAATTTTTTTTTTTTTTCAATGTTATAGCAAAAAAGAACATGATCACAGAGCTAAACTGTACTCTACCTTCTGCAGCAAGGTTAGCTACCACTTTCACAGCATGGATCTGGACATCTAAGTCTTCAGATGCCAGCAATTGTATTATCTTTTGAAGCCCAACTGATAGGAAGTAGAAACAAAAAAACACATGTAAACAAACGCTTTCCTGAAATGCAAAGAAAACGCTAGATATGGCTCTTTTACAACATAGGTCTTGCCTTCTTCACATATCTTTGCAATTGTAGCCCTTTGACCAAATTGTGTGTCTCTTAGTGGGTTTGATTTGTGGGAACTTGAGGAGCTTCCAGATGTTAAGGATCCTTTATTGATATTTTCCTTCAGAAATGATATCTTATTCTGTAAAACTTGGTAATGTAAGAATTTAAAGCACCATGACTGAACAAGACATAAGAAAAAAAGAAAAGAAAAAAAAGAGGTAAATGACTTACGCCAAACTCATTCTCATTTACACCAAACTCATTCTCATTTTGAGCTACACTTTTCTTAAGTTTCACCAACTCATGTTCAATAATCTTTCTTCGCTTCTCTTCTGCTGATAGTTTTTCTTGCATTGCACTGAGTTCTTCACTTAGCATTGCCTTTAAAATAGAGAATAATAAATAATAAATAATAACACTCATTCCTTAATTAGCCAAAAAAGTAGCAACAGGCATAAAGGAATATGTAGACAGCTGTGTTTGAAACAAAGTTATACTTAAAAAATTGAACATGGATATACATATATGAATGAAATAATAAATGGAAGAATGTATACATATCAAAGCTCATCTGGTTTCAAGTTTCAATCGTACCTTCTCTTGAATCTGATCTTTACATTCTGATTTCAAGGACTGTAATTCATTCATTGTAGATTCTTGCAGTTCATATGTTTCTTGTAACTTCATTGTAAGTTCACTGATTTCTTCCTGTTCCTGGATTTCGTGAGAAGCAAGAGAGCATAAAGTCAGTAAATTATCTGCGCTAAAATAGTTAAATGAATCAAAACTTCTATCTCTCAAAATTTAATCTATATGCAAGTTTAACCTACATACGCTACATTGAATTTTTGACAATAATCCAGAAGTGTGTTGAACAATGATCCACAGTGATTAGAAATGCTTTTATCCACATCCAGTGAAATATATAAGAAATATAGGGAAATATAGATCAATTACCCAAACTTCAATTTGAGATCCATATGAAGATTTAAGGTTGTTATTGGACCTTCATTATTATTTTTTCTTTTTATCGGCATTGGACCTTCATTATTGAATTTAGTTTTACCAAGTTGTCTATACCCTATAGCAAAAACAATTATAAGGAAAGTCCTCCAACAGATCAACAAACCACATTCTCTCTCTAAATTCAATAGATGAAAATTAACCTGCATTAAGTTTTGAGTAAGAGGTCTATTTGCTAAATCCAGTTGTTGCTGCATGCCTTCAAAATGAGCATGCTCTTCTTCTAGTTGCTTAGTCAGCTCTTTAATTTTCTTCTCATACATCTGAGTAGTATCTGCTAGTGCCTTCTGATATATAGAATTTTGGGTCTCAAGTTGCTATTAGCAACAAAAAGACAGCATTAGGGCTTGAAAACTTGTTGCAGAAAAGTATAGGTTATTTACAATGTTTAATAGAGAATTACTTGAATTTCCCTTTGATGGTCACTCAATATTTTTTTCATTGCATCTAGTTGTTCGAAGGAACTATCAGACTTGGCATGCTCAACCTCAAGCTTCTTGATAAACTCAGCTATCTTTCTCTCATACATCTGAGTGGTATCAGCCAGTACTTTCTGATTGGTATCAGCCAGTACTTTCTGATATGCAGAATTTTCAAGCTGGTTTTGCTATCGACAATCAAGAGAGAAAATTCAGATTAATCTAAAATTAAGATAGGAAGGTAAAAATTCATAAGAAATATTTGAAATGCATAAGCAAGTTTTTCTCAATGGAGACTACCTTGAGAAGTTTTAAGCTCATTTCTAGCTCTGCAATTTTATTATTCATCAAAGCAGTATGTTCTTTTTGACTCTTCAACTCAGTTAAGACTTCTTCTGTCTCCAATTCCAAACGAGTATTTTCCTTCTCTAGAAACTGCAATCCATGCAAGGTATCAGACACTGGAAGAAAGATAAATACTTCTAACAAGCCAGATAAATGATGTGAAATATAAATGAACAAGCAATACACCAAAACACTGGGAAACCATGTGAGAAAGACTTTTACTTTGATAAAGTTAAAAAGATTTTCAATCATAAATGAAGACAATATCAAAGTAGGAGAGCTAATTACCTCAGACTTTGTGACTAGGTTCTGTCTTTCTTCAGAAAAAGAATTTTGGCACTCCCTGAGCTGTTTTTCCAATTCATGCTTGTCATTTTCTCTCAACTTCTGTTGCCTCTCAATTTCTGAGGTAAGATGGTCTACTTGAGTCTCAAGCTTCCGACATAAACTTTCATAATCAAACTCTTCTTTAAGCTTTATCGTGTTTACTATTTTCATTGCCTGCAAAGGGAATAACAAAAATTAAACTGGCTTAACATAAAGCTCATCAACTTTAATTTTGTTCATCCAAATGTATGGGATGTTTAAGCTATAAAACCATAACAAATTCCTATCAATAAGATGTGTTAACTTGAACACAAGAAATTACTATTCTTTCTTTGTCAGAAAATTCAGTAATACAGGAGAATTTGGAAGATCAAAAAGACATTGCAAAATAGCATATGAATAAAGACAGAACAAGGTTTATCAATTATCAAACATTTACTATTGAATATATTTTGACAGGACAATAAATATTTAAATTGCAATGCTCATGGTTAAACTCACCCGTTGCCCAAACATTATCGTGCCACTGGTCTCTGCATAATGTCTTGCAGATGGTCCAATTGTTATTATAAGGGAAGTCCTAGCAGAGCCTATAATTTAAAGAGGCATTTCTTATAAGAATATTTGCAGGTAAAGGTAACAGAATATCACTCACTTTTTTGGTGCATGATATCACACACTTTAACTATAAACGTAACCAAATCTCTTCTTGTAATGAACATGTTGATAAAAAGATAGTAAAAATACCAAAGAAAATATCAAGGCATAAATTTGTAGTTACAAAAATCTTGGTATGGCAAATGCTAACCATCATATAAAGAGCAGAGGGCTATGCTTAACTGATTTTCCACAGATATCAAAATAAAATAAACAATTAAACAGTAGTGTCTTTCATGCTAACCTCCAAAAGAATCACGAAGCAATCTTGTCAGTTTAGAATCCCTTGTAGGTATGTGTGGACTGTTCTCAGCCAATGCATTTATACATTTTCCAAGGGAAGTAAGAGAAAGATTAATGAACTTAGCCTCTTCAAGCAAATGGCCTTCACTGCCTACAAAATGAGAGAGTAACTAAGTAATTTCTTTAAAAGAGTTGTTGTGTAGCGTAGAACCACCATTACAAATGTTTAATATTCACAGAAACCAAAAGGTTCTCAGCACAATTATGATAATCTTGACAGAATTATTGTACAAATCAATGTTCAAAATTTGGTCACTGGATAAGTTTAAGTACAATAAACTAAATTAAAAAAATGCCACTTTACATACCAGATTTATCTAATCTTTCAGACCCTGCAAGATCCACAATCAGCAACTTGCTTTTTCTAACCATGGGTAAATCCCTTTCCTCATTTCTCTCAGAAATAGTTTCATCTTCCATTTTTCCATGTATAGATCTTCGTACAGAAACCTATGAGACAAAATAAAAAATGTACAATTTTTTGAACAATTCAGAAAACCCTTGGGTCCTCCTTTTTCTTTTCTTAGTATTCTTTCTAATGTCAAATAAAAATTGTTCGGTTTCTGAAAATCAATGGGAAACATTCATGAAGAAAGTCTAAATTACAAATGGATGCTCACCATTAGAATTGCATGACTACGTGAAGACTCTGTATTCAGCTTCGTATTAGACGCATGACGGTTAGCCTCACCAATTTGTAGCAGCTCTAGAAATTGTGGTAGATCTTGAACCTTAACCATAGAAGCACCAGGTAAGGACACTTCCCCAGTCCTGGGATCCTCATTGATAAGCATACTAGACTTTTCTGGTGCAAGTAAATCTTGTATAGACTCCATATAGAGCTGGATCACAAACATGAAATAATAATGAGGAATTTCCTTCAACAGATAAATGAAGCAACTACAACTTGATGGAACACATTAAAAAAAGATGACCGTCTATGAAAACTAAATTGATACTGTAACTGCATGAACAGACAGGAAAAGTGTGAATATCCGGATCAACTATAAATTACTGAAACTTAAAGGACAAAACAATGTTTGACCCAAACAACCTACATAGAATTTGACTTTTCATTCCAAGGACAAAGCATAAAACTTGTATCTCTATTCTTGCTTTAATCCATTGTTTCCCCTGCTAGTATCCCTAGTACTACAACCTGTGCAAACACATTAAAAAGGCGCATAATGCCAGAACAAACACAAAAGAGCAAGCCTTAGTGTAAAATGACACTAGAATACCTGTAAGTAGGATACTTCCACACTATCAGAAGCAAGTGAGATGTTGTCCATTATGTCCTCTAAAGCTCTAACCATTATACCACGCTCAGATGAATCCTTTTTACCAAGCCTTCCAAGTGTGTAAGTTTTGCCAGTTCCTGTTTGCCCGTAAGCCATAATTGTCCCATTATATCCATGCAACACACTCTGCCAAAAGATACCAATATACCAGAAGTGATTGGCTTGTCAACCAGACCTAAAAACAAAATATTTCTAAGACCATGCTCACTCACCTCAACTACTGGTTTTGCTACTACCTCATAAACACGCTTCTGTGAGGCAGTCTCTGTGAAGACTTCATCAAATTTGTAAGATTCAGAAGTCCAGTTGTTTTTTTGCAACTTTAACCGCTTAAGCTACATCAAGAAAAGAAACAAAACCGCGTTAATCCAAAGAATCTGGTTGACACCCTACAACTTCCAAAACCCATAGAAACAATAAACAGGCTGGGCTGTATAAGCAAACATGCTTTTAACTATCCTAAGTGTGGAAAGAAAGAATAAGCCTTTGCAATTTCTTAACAGCATGTATAAATCACCTCTGGCTGCAACTCAATGCAATCGGTAAAATCAGCATCTGAAAGTAGATCCTCAGCATTTTTTGGTCGAAGTCTGACAGCAACTCTCACCCTTCCAGGATCTGTCCTTGGATTAAAATGAAATTTTATTTAACAATAAGTAATCACAGAAGATGGCAGGCTCTACTCATTTGACAAAGCAAACAGCTTGCTGTAAAACAACAATGTCTTAAAGCTTTCTCCAGATAAAATGTTGCTTTTAACCAAATCATATAACATTCCCGACTTCCTTGAGAAATAAAATCAGACATTTTTCAATGGTCTGACAGGGGAAATTTTGATCCTCTTGTTTTACTAATATGATTCAAATAATAACTTTTATGTAGCCTACTCAGAGGTAGAGAATCAGAAATTTGCTGCTTCCCATCAAAATAATCCTAACAAAGGCAAAGGCCCAAACAAACTCCTTACACCTTCATTCAGAAGCATCAAAATAACATCTTCTGCAATGCCAATAGTCCAAACAAACAACTTCATAAACACAAATACACATTATATATAAAGATTAAAATAGACAAATATAGCAGAGAGAGATTGACCATTATCGTCTTCAGTGTCCTTGGATCGAGAACGAGAAGTGGGAGTAACAGAGGGGCGTGTCGAAGCAGAAGATGAAGAGGAGGAAGAGCGGGGTCTGTTGTCCTTAGGCCGGAGAGACTGATACCCATTATTCAAACTTGTCGTCAATGAATTCCCACCATGGCTATGGCCCTGTTGTTGATGGTACGATGGTTTCTCTGCCCTCTGTGTTGCTCGCAAACCAGCACTCGTCGCCATTTTGCCAAAAAGCACTAAATTTTGCACTCAGATACAACAAAACAAAAGAAAGATATCAAATTATCACATTAGTGGCTTTTCACAAACTTTGAAGAGCAGTTGAGGCCGCCGGCCGGCCGGCACGATGAGGGAACACCTATAAACGGGTCCCCACGCTACGCTGGAACACGGGACGGCAGAGGAATGGCTTAGTCTTCAAAGGGTGACTTCAAGTTTCTGCCCTTTTGAATCTAAATTTCAAAAAGTTCGCCTTTTTCACAAAGGTACGAACTTTCCCACCATCACTGACACTGAGAGAGACCGTGTGAGAATCTATCCAGAATAATGAACTACTTTATTAAAAGATGAAATCTTTGATAATTTTAGTGAATAGGAACATCTGGGCAATGAATTGAACAGGAAGATTATAGGAAATAATAAATAAAGTCAGTAAGAATTGCACCATTATAGTGACCCCATTTTACTGTTTCAATTGTTTTTCTTGGACAGATCCCTATCAAGTTGAGTTGTGTGATGTTGCCAGTTTGTCCTTTGTTACTGTGTATATACTTTCACTGAAGTCATTAAAGACAAACATTAGGGTTTTGTTGATCCTAATTCTATAATTATGTATAGCCCCCAAGACACCTAACCTATGCAATACTATTGAAAATAAAAAAATGATGGAGATAACAGAATTTGTTTTTTGTGATCAAGATGGAGAAGACAGTAGATTAGCATGAACTAATGTAGGATTTCTTGTTCCTTCGAGATTGTACTTCATTCTCAACCTTAGGTGATTTGGCTTCTAATTAAACAAACCCCTCGTGTCCTGTGTCCTCAATTCAGACATATGCATGTTATTTAAAGGCAAAACGATAAGTTAAGCCCCTGAACTAACCCCAGAATCACTATTAAGCCTCAGACTTTAATTGATACATATAAGCCCCTGAACTCTACAATAGAAGCAATTAAGTCCTTACTATCACAGTAACTTAACTGCTGTTAACTGCCGTTAATTGCCATTTGGGGACTGCCTCGTGACGAA